TTGAGTATTTTCTCTGTTTCTAGGCTGTGTTTTGGATGTGGAGGAGATCACTGTAGAGTACGATGTGGGTGCTCTCTTTTTTGTTTTTGCTTGTGCATGAAGCGATGTTCTAGAACTGTATGGCTGTATCAGGGTACCAGCTGCCTGTAGTAGTTGTGTCCCAAGTCACTGGACATAATCAGTTACCTGGACTGGTTGTCTTTTTGGCTAAGTTTCACTGGCATTCGGGCTGTGAGGGTTTATAACTGACTTTCCTTTCAGTACCTTGGGCCCTATCCCAGACTTGGAGAACAGCTGTTTTCTCATAGGACCTCTTCCCTGCCTCAGTTTCCTCAACGATGCTTGAGGCCAGAACTCGCACACCATTGGGCTTGCTTCCTTATGTGGAGAAATGCTATAGTATTCAAGACAGACTAGGTCTTTGGTTCTCAAAGTATGGGCTTGGAATCCTTAGCGTCGCCTTTAGGGGATCTATGAGATCCCCCCTTTTCCAGTTACATATCCAAATGAGGCCAGATTTTCTTCATCTTCAACCAGAATAGCATATCAAAACAGATTGAATGCAGATGCAGATAGGAGAATCCAGCTGTTTACTATTAAGCCAGACATTAAAGAGATTTGTAAAAATGTTAAGTAGTGCCATTCTTCTCACTGAATTTTTTTTTGTTTCGGAAGATAGTTATTTTTAATAAAAATATTAACATGTATGGATTTATTATTATTTTTAAATGAATTAAGAAATATTTTAAACTATTTCCATTGTAATTTCTAATACACTGATACAAATAAAATCTCTTTGGGGTCCTTGATAATTTCTGAGAGTGTAAAGAAACCAAGAGTGTAAGAGACCAAGAAGTATGAAAATTGCCAGGTTATGTCATGCTGTGGTAACAAAATCACCTCAAAATCTCCCTTACTTAACAGATAGTTTATTTCTTGCTCATGCTCATATTCAGTGTGGGTCAGCAGAGGGGCTCTGTTCATCAAAGTTACTCAGGGACCCAGGCTTAGGGGACTCTCTCATTACCTGCTGCCATGCTTAGCAGTCAGGAGAAGGGATAATGATTCTCGAAAGCTTCCACTGGAACCAGCGTGTCAGAGCATCATAAAAATGTGCAGTCTTAGAAGCACTTAAGTGAGAAACCTAATCAAACAAAAACTCATATTCTTGAATTCTTTGTACCCTTTCCCCCAACATTGTTGGGTCAGTGAGTATCAAAAAGCCATTGTTTAAGGATGAAGAGAGAATCAAGGGTGTGAATTATAGAAGGATGTTGTTCATGAGGTCCTGAGCCCCATGCCACATCTGGGACCATGTCTTTTCTCTCTTTTCAACATTGAATGTGCAATATTTAGGACATCTAGTAAAGACATAGGGAATAATAGAATGAACAGCTGTGTGTCCACCATCAGCTTAAGAAACAAAATGTTACCTGTACCATTAAGCTCCCTTTGTGCTCATCCTCATCTGGGCAGTAAGACAGACAGTAAGTGTATGGACGGAAATACAATCAGTGTTGGGTTGCTACCTGAATCTAAGTGCTATGAAGAAAGATAAAATAAGATAAGTTAGGTACAGAATGATAACAGTAAAGTTAGTCTGGAAAGCCTGCTCTGAGGGGAAGACCTTTGAGCAAAGACCTGAGTGAATTAGCTATGTGAATAGCTGAGGGAAAAGCATTTTAACTGAAGGAATAGCATATGCAGGACCTGAAGCTAGAATCTGCTTGAGGTGCTTGAGGCAGCCAGGGTGACTGAGGTAGAGGAAGAGGTGGAGAGTGTAGGAAATGAGGTCAGAGAAGGAGCCAGAGGCCAGATGATTTAGGGCCTTGTAAACAGGGTAAAGTATTTGAATTTGAACTTAAGGATGGGAAGCCCGTGGAGGGTTTTGAGCTGAGTAATGACATGATCTCATACATATTTAAAAAAAAAAAAATCACTGTGGGGGTGCCTGGGTGGCTCAGTCAGTTAAGCATCTGCCTTCGGCTCAGGTCATGATCCCAGGGTTCTGGGATCAAGCCCCACATTGGGCTCCCTGCTCAGTAGGGAGTCTGCTTCTCCCTCTCCCTGTGGCTCCCCACTGTGTGTACTCTCTCTCTCTCTGTCAAATAAATAAAATAAAATTTAAAAAAACCTTAAAAAAAAATCACTGTGGCCTGTCATGTTGAGAAGAGAGAGAATACATGGGAATTATAGTCCGAGTGAGAGATAACAGTGGCCTGAACTTAGTAGTGTATTGCTGAGTGTTTACAGCCTCTCTCAGGGGACAAAAAAAAGAGCCCTGATTTGTAGCATTTGCTGATTTCCATGGTGTAAGTACTCCCACTGTGGTGATCTCAAGCTACCAGGGTGCTGTCACTGAGTGAGGAGGTGGGAAAGGAAGGGCACAGTCAGCTGTCCTGAGCCCGTGGAAGCTGGCTGTGGCACACCACTGCTTGAACTTGGGTGTTTAGTCGATGGTGTGTTTGCAAGGGACATTCAGGTCTGTCTCCATTTTCTGCGGTAGATGGAAGCTGCATCACCTTTTTGGAAGGAGAAAATATGGAGGTTATGACAGGGAGAGAGTCCATTTATAATCTCCATTATGCTGGGCCCTTTCAAAATAAGCCTAGATGTTGGAGGCCTTGCAGGAGCTTTGGACTCTCTCAGATCCTTTGAAAGTGGAGTTCAGCCCAAAACCTCCCTGCAAACAGGAAGCTGGTTTGAGTTAGAACATAAAATAAAAACCAGCTGATGCCCCTGAATGTTTTTCCCCTGCTCCTCCCACTCCACAGAGCCAAAGGAAACTGCCTTTTTTTGTCTTTGGATAGTTGTTCAGAAAGTCAGAAAAAGCCAAAAACCATAAATCCTTTGAAAATAAGCCAAGTTTTGAGCCCAGGCAAACTTCTGCCCATGGGGTTTCCTAGCCCGGATGTCCGTCCCACTGCCAAGAGTCCTAGGAGGAAAGGGCCTGAGGAACACAAAAGTTGCCAGAGATCAGAGCCTGGAACCCAGGCCCAGCAGGAATAGATGGTCTGTAGCAGTTTCTCAAACTGGAGTTTCCAGCCCATTTGTAGGTCATGAAATCAACAAAGTGGGCCATGCCCAGAATCATTTTTTAATGAAATAGAATGTGATAGAAAATAGAGTGTATCACATGGAGTAAGAGAAGTATTGTTTTGTGAAACTTTTATTTCAGTTTTAGGCACATGCACACATGTACATGTATGTATGTACCAGCTCATGATACAAACTCATAAACTATCTCTCTTACCATGGGTCATGGGCAAAAATGTTTGGTGAACACTGGCCTTAAAGGTATGAGTAACTGACATCTCCTTCCTGCTTTAGCTTGCTGTTGAAAAGTCCAAGCTAGTTTCAGAATGAGTCTTTTATGGAACTGCATCCTCTGTCCACAAAACACCTACCCAAATTCCTGTCAGAGGGAAGGAAAGCTGAGAACGGAACAGACTGGTCTAATTCTTTGGGACCAAAGCTGAAGCATAAACGAGGGATTGATACAAATTTGAATGCAAAGGATTTGCCTGCAATGATTCTCCGGAAGGGAATAGGATTTGAGCAGTTTTTTAGCTCACTGCACTTGATCTATGACCTTTCCCATCTATGTGGGTAATGCTGGCCTTGGGTTCCTCTCTCTCCTGTCTGCAGTAGGCAGTTGGTATAGCAGGAATGTTCCTGAGTACCCTCCCTCTGGGATAGCTGGAGGCACAGTGCCAGGATGGGGAGGGGTGCACCGAACTGAGCATCCCCTGGACTTCCCCAGGGGTATTTTGTGCTCTCCAGTCAGTGTGCCTGGTGCTCAGGCCTTTCAACAAGGTGACTGGGTGCCAGGGCATCATGCATCTAAGAAAAAGTAAGGAAGGAGGCATAAGTTAAGGCAAACTATCAAGAACACAGGCTACAGTTAGTTTATCCCACACTAGGCTTAGTGCCTCAGGTAGGCCCAGGGTTCCTGGCAAGTCTGGAGCTTGCCAGGTGGCTGTGGGTTGGCTGTGGGACTAAACTGCCTCTGTCAGTGAGTAGACACATGCTGGAATTGCTGGTCCACATCCCCAGGAAGCACAGAAGACTCTTGGGGGCCTTCCTGGGGAATAGGTTTTAACTGTCATGTCCCAGGGGATTTATTTTGGTCTTTGGCCACCAAAGGGCATTTCTTTCCAACCTAATTCAAGCTAAAATGGTCCTTGGAGATAAGAATTTAAGGGCGCCTGGATGGCTCAGTTGGTTAAGCGACTGTCTTCGGCTTAGGTCATGATCCCAGGGCCCTGGGATCGAGTCCTGCATCGCCGTCCCCCTGCTCTGTGGGAGCCTGCTTCTCCCTCTGCCTCTGCCTGCCACTCCCCCTGATTATGCTGTCTCTCTCTTCTCTCTGTCAAATAAATAAATAAAATCTTAAAAAAAAAAAAAAGTTTAAACCAGCCCTCTAGAGGGACTTTGAATTCTCCAGCTGGGACAGTAAGAGAGGAGGAGAGATCCTAACCACCCTAATTGATTCTGGGTTTCCTCTCCCTATTAAAAAAAAAAATTTTTTTTTAAAGATTTTATTTATTTGTCAGAGAGAGAGAACATGAGCGCACAAGCAGGGAGAGCGTCAGGCAGAGGGAGAAGCAGGCTCCCCGCTGAGCAAGGAGCCCAATGGGGACTCGATCCCAGGACCCTGGAATCATGACCTGAGCCGAAGGCAGACGCTTAACTGACTGAGCCACCCAGGTGCCCCATCTGGGTTTCCCCTCTCCAGAAACTGGCCTGGACTAGGATAGACCACCCTACTACAGACATGAATACTCCTGAAGTGTTTCTGGTTCACACCACCCTCCTAGGGCCTCTGAGACTCTTAGTAGGGTACAGTCTAGCCTATTTACATGACCTTTCTGCATTCAGATGCCTCTCTCTCTGAGCCAACAGAGAGACCAAGGACATCTCTGAGGAGGGCCAGTGCAGGGGGTCCAGACAGTACTAGAGGGTGGACCTGGAGTGACAAGCAAGATGTTCTGTTGCAGACGGTGAGGTGGAGTGAGAAGAGGTTCCAGGGCATTCTGAATCTCCCATGGGATCATCTAGCAGAAAGGCCAGTGAACTAATTTGAGGTTAGTTCAGTGTGCGCCGTAGGGCTGCGTCCAGTGTTGGGTAACAATATTGTTGGTGAGAGTGATGGTGAATGTTGCATGTGGCCATGTCCTCAGAATCTCTGAGCACTTTACACATGTTTCCCTTTCATCTCTGTGGGAGTGGGGCTTAATAATAATAATTAGAGTACTCTGAGCATCTGTGCTTGGCAAAACACAGCATTAAGCCATGTTTCTGTCTCCTGGGCTCATAGTCTGTATGAACTGGCAGATGTTTGGGGTGGGTAGAGTTCTCTGATGGAGGGGAGGAACGTGATGGGATGCAAAGATCAGAGATATTATGAGTCACCTAATTAATACCTAACATTCCTCTGACTCTTAGTAGATCACAGTAGCCTTTCTTTCATACCTGCCAAGGCACGAAGATCAGTGACTTTCCCTGACTCTCAGAGACCCAAGAGGCCAGTCTGGGGACCCAAGGCTTTATCTTGTAAACGGAGCCTTCCTGGATTGGGGGAGTGCTTGTTCCTCTGTGGCCATGAGCCCAGCTTTAACCCTTCATTTTCTTTCCCAGGGTCCCCACAGATTGAGCCCTGTTAAAAGCCTGTAGTGCACGCTAGCTTTTCCCCATGTGACCAAGGGACCTGTGGCCAGGACAGACCCTGGAGAAGTCAGTAGCCCTATTCTCCTGAAGAAAGTAGTCAGCATTTGCTAGATGGTCGTGGGTACCTTCAGCACCTCCTTCCCGACCCTGCTCTGTCCATATGTCACTTCTCTGTCTCCCTCTAACAGGTGACATTGGAGAAGGTGCTTGGAATAACAGTGTCTGGAGGCAGAGGACTTGCCTGTGACCCCCGATCGGGTTTAGTTGCCTACCCAGCAGGGTAAGTATATTGGAAGACGGCTTATTGCATGGGAGTTTATAACCATGCTAAACCAGTTAGGGTGGGCAGGGATTTTTTGGTTTCTTCTGGGAGATATAGCCAGGTGAATGTTTTGGTACCATTTTTGTAAAGGAGATACAGGGCCAGGTCAAGGCTCTTTGTTGAATGCTGTACTTGTTGCCGTCCTGTCCTGTTTTTTTGGCCATCCACCTGTACATACTGATTCACACTTTATATTACACACAGTTCCCAACACCATCTTTAATATCTACCTTCTAGTCACTTAAAAACAGCTTTATTGAGATGTAACTCATGTACCACAAGTTTGCCCATTTAAAATGTACAATTCAGTGTTCTTTAGCATATCCACAAAGTTGTGCAGCCATCACCACAGTCAATTTTCAAACATTTTCATCACCCAAGAAAGAAACACCATACCCATTAGCAGTTATTCCCTATTTCCCCCTCAAGACCCCCAGCCCCAGGCAACCACTAATCCACTTTCTGTCTCTGTAGATTTACCTGTTCTAGACAGTTCATATAAGTGGAATCATTCCATATAAGTAGAATATTTGGCCTTCTGTGACTGGCTTTTTTCTTTTTCTTTTTTTTAAATTTATTAGAGAGAGAGAGCTAGAGAGGGAACACGAGCAGGGACAGAGAGAGAGGGAGAAGCAGGCCTCCTGCCGAGCAGGGAGCGTGATGCAGGGCTCCGTCCCAGGACCCTGGGATCATGACCTGAGCAGAAGGCAGACGCTTAACGACTGAGCTACCCAGGTGCCCCTGTGACTGGCTTTTTTCACTGAGCATAATTTTTTTTTTTTTTTTAAAGATTTTATTTATTTGACAGCGAGAGACATAGAGAGGGAACACAAGCAGGGGGAGTGGGAGAGGGAGAAGCAGGCTTCCTGCCGAGCAGGGAGCCCGATGCGGGGCTCGATCCCAGGACCCTGGGATCATGACCTGAGCCGAAGGCAGATGCTTAACGACTGAGCCACCCAGGCGCCCCGAGCATAATGTTTTTAATGTTCATACATGTCATGGCAGGTATCAGTACTTTGTTTCTTTTTATGGCCGAATAACATTCTATTGTATGGATGTCCCACACTTCATCTAGTCATCAGTTGATGGGCTTTTGGGTTGTTTCCACTTTTTGGCTATTTTTATGAAAAATACCAGGCGCCTGGGTGGCTCAGTCGGTTAAGGGTCTGCCTTTGGCTCAGGTCATGATCCCAGGGTCCCAGGATCGAGTCCTGCATCAGGCTCCTTGCTCAGCGGAGTGTCTGCTTTTCCCTTTCCCTCTGCTGCTCCCCCCTGCTCGTGCTCTCTCTCTCTTTCCCTCAAATAAATAAATAAATAAAATCTTTAAAAAAAAAAAAAGAAAGAAAAAAGAAAAAGAAAAACACCGCTCTGAACATTTGCCTACTGTTGTCACTTGGAGAGATGTCAGTGCCATGGAAGAAAAGTAGGGATCTGGGGCTGGGGTTCCTCTGTCCCTTGCTGCCTTTTCGCTCCTCTGCTCCTGCAGATGAGAAACCCCCAGCCATAGCTTCTTTAGGCTTTTACAAAAGTGTTTCTTTGGGAGGCTTGGCGCCCTTGCTGCTTCTGGTTCTCTCTGTCAACCTGTGTACTTTGCTGCTGGGCATGGGAGCACAGGCATGGGAAGGCCCCCGCCCCTCTTCCTTTCTTCCCCACCATCAGCTCGGGAGTGCCCACTTTCCCAGTATGAGTTCCACAGCAACTCGTGGAGTTTTTGTACCAGTATATGATTTCCTTAGTTTGATCATCCCATCAAAAATCTGCCTTTGTCAACAACTTATTCTGTGCCAGGCCCTTTGCTAAGCACTTTGCAAAGAGCAACCCTGTGAGGTTGGTACTATTATTATCCCATTTAGAGAAGGAAACTAAAAAAAAGAGAGTTTAAGCAGATTGCTCCAGGTCACACAGCTAGTAAGTGTCTGTATTGGAATTTTAACCCAAGTAGTCTGACTGCAAAGCTCTTAATCTTAAAATGGTGTGGAGGGGGGGAAGACCTGACTTTCTGCTGATTTTTGAAAGCTGCTTCTTGTGTCACTATGTGGCATACAAATGAGAAGAGCCCAATTTATGGGCATCTCAGTCTATGCCAGGGAAACTTCTGCCCCTGGGTTCTGGGGCCGGTGCCTTTCCTGAGCGGCCCTTTGGCATCTGATGTCTGTGGTGGGGGTGCTGTAAGAGCTGCACCAGCCTTACTCTGCAGAAGCTGAGCTGGCCGCCTTCTTCCCCTCCAGAAGCCAAGTTGATGAATGACCTCTGTTGCTGGATACCCGTGCAGCTGGCCTCAGGGGAATTCCTCTCGTGCCTGCCTCTGCCTGGGAAAGCCAGGTTCCTTCTTGTTGGAGGTGGGGCTGGGGCTGGATGTGAGATGGGCAGGAAGGGCCTGGGCTGCTGCCTGGTATGTGCTGAGCCTAGTGTGCCTGCCCTAGGGATTGTAGAACCATGCTCCCCACCTCTTCCCCCCATGCCCCTGACCCCAGGCCTGGTGCTTGGGTGTGTGCTTCTGTGTGTGGGCAGGACCCAGCCTGGCACATGTGTCTGGGAGTCATTAGCCTTCCAGATGGTGTATGGAAGCTTCCCTTCTGTGATATCTAGTAGGTTTCCTCAGTGTGCTTGGCTCGGGCGAGCCCTGGGCGGTGACATGATCTACTCCCTGACCTTTTGATTTCCTAGGACTTCAAGTTCTCTCTTTGCAAATGGCCCCCTTTTCTGAGTATTTTCATTTTGCTCTGTTCTAGAGGTCCCTGTTGTGCCTCTGGAGTGTCTGGGGGCCACCAAAGTCTATGTGAGCCAAGTACGCTCTTTCCCTCCCTCCTTCTCTTCTTCTTTCCCTATCTGGTGATCCTAACCCCACCCCCACTCTCTAGTTCCTACTATGCTTGTTGCTCTCAGAGCGGCTCAGGTATCCTAGAAACAAGAAGAAAAACAAAGCTCAGAAAAGTCTCCCGGAGGCCTAGAGGCAAATATCAAACCAAAACAAAGTTTTCTGAAAGGAAATGAAACCGCTCCAAGAGGGTGGGGTAGAGGGGGATTGTGTCAAGCAGAGGTGGGTGAAGTCTCTGGGTAGAGACCCCTCAGTTTTAGTGGCTCCAGAGTTCCCCCTTTGCTGTTCTGTCCACAGAAAAGCCTACCCCTCACCTGTCACACTTTGAGCCCCCCTGCTCCAGGAGGCTAGGTGGTCCCCAGATAACATCTTCGAGGGACTCAGCTTAGTTGAACATCCATAATTGACTTGGGCCCGTTCGCTGGTTGGCTTGGTAGAGGGCTCAGGTGCTGTAGAACCCAGCACAGCCCCCATTGCCGCGGTGGGGCCAATCAGTTCTGAGAGTGAGTCTCTCTTGATCCCCGGTGCTGAAGTGTGGGCCTGGCCTGGGTGAATGCTCTGGGCAAAGCAGCTACTGGAGTGGGAGGTGCCCTATCCAGCAGCCCCGAGGAGACCTCTTGGTTGCTGTTAACTAGGGAGGAGGAAGGCAGACTCAGATTTCCTGAGAAGGCCCTCCCATTTACTCAGCCCATACTGGAAGTTATGCTGAGGTCCCCCAGCTCCAAAGCACTGGAAAAGGTGTGAAACCACAGTCTCCCAACCTGAACTATGTTCTAGTGACAGCTGAGCTAAGGGAGCACAGAATTAGCTCCTTACGGTCTGTGGGCAAGCCCTGTGTGCTGGTTTGCCAGGGGGTGTGTGGGACTGTGGACACCGGATGGGCCTGGGAGAAGATGCCTGCTTTGTGCCCTGGTGGATGGGAGTTATGTGCAGGGGTCCTCGCAAGCGTCGGTCCCCTCAGGGCCTGTCTTCTGGTTGCTCTGCAGGTTTCACACCTGAAACCGAGCCCCCTTAGTTCTTCCTCAGATGGTTTGGTCATAGATGCCTTCATTCATTTGTTCAGCAGGTATTTGTTGAAAACCTGCTCGGGACCAGGCACTGTTCTAGGCACAAGGTATATAGCAGTGAGCAGGACAGGAAGGGTGACCATTTTTGGTGGGGTTTAGGTTCAAGAAGGGCAAGCAGACAATCAGCATGCCAGCCCATAAATGAGCAAGATAGTGTCAGAGATGGTAAGTGTTCTGAAGAAAGTAAAACCAAGTGACAGAAAGGAGAGTAAGTGAATAGCTGGCGGGGCGCGTGGCGGGGCCGGGGCCAGGGCGGGGGCTACTTTAGGATTGGGTCGTTAAGACGCAGGGGGAGGTCACATTCAGCTGATGTCCGAATGACCAAGAGGAAGGAACTCTTGAGGATCTGGACTCCAAAGTGGTCCAGGTGGAGGAAGCCTCAAGTGCAAAGGTGCCAGGGAAGGGAGGATTGGGTTCACTTGTTTGAGGGGGCTAAATGGTTGTCGTGGTGGCTAGAGCATAATGAGTGGGAGGACGGGGGCCCAGGCATTGCATTTTGACAGGGCTCGTAAGTCTTGCAGTGCACAGAGATTCACGTCTTGTCCCAGAAGGGAATGTGTGTAGAGTCCTCTGGGCAGAGAGAAGTGCACCGCTAGCTCTCCACTGGTACCCATGTTATTCTCTGTCTTCTTTCATGTTTTTGAGGAGGGATTTGTAAAATGCCCCAGAAACAGAGATGCCAGTGGGTCCTGTGACCTGGCCTAAGAGGATTGCTTATTTGGAAGGTCCTGGATTGCAGGCATTTAAAGAGGACCACAACGGAGGATGCCTTAGGAAACATCCTTGACTCATTCTCTCTTAGAATAATTAAAGCTATATTTCATTCCCTTTTGGGAGTGAATCCAGAGGGATGGTTTATAATTCCACACCTGGGTGAGGATCCTAATGAGTCATTAGTGTCCAGCAAGTCATGTATGGGATGCCACAGTTGGGGCTCCTGTTGTAACTGCTGACCCCCTGGATCTCGCTTTCCTTGTTAGTGGTGGAGCAGAGTACCCTTCAAGAAGATGGCCAGGAGCACCATGCTGCTTACTCTGCACACTGTCTTCTTCAGTCCCCACAGCAATTCTGTG